TTTTTTAAATAAAAACTTGTAAATTAAAAAAAAATTATATATTAATATAAAATTAAATTGGCTGACTTATTATTTATTATTATTTCTATTATTTCAAAAAAAAAAAACTTTTTTATACTCAGCATTGTTATATATATATGTACGCAATGCAACTAACCGAATTTATACATTTATTAACTCAATCAGTGTGATGTGACATAATTTTTTATATTTATATATATATATAAAAAAAAGCACTTTTGACGTATTATTTTTTCAACAAAAAAAAATTACATGCACATATATATTAATTAATTGAAATAAAATGAGTCAAAGAAAGTTAAATTTCAATGTTGGAGAAAATTATGAAGTTATTGATGTAGTTGGAGAAGGAGCTTATGGTGTAGTTTGGTATATATATACATATATATTTAACCCAATTTCCTAGATAATTCATGACAATATATATTATGTGACGTTGATTTTGTTTACTTTTTTAATAGTTCAGCTGTGCATAAGCCAACTGGACAAAAGGTTGCCATTAAAAAAATAACACCATTCGATCATTCCATGTTTTGTCTACGTACATTAAGAGAAAATTCGCTCTTAAAAAATTTGGATGATGCCTGTATTAGAAGTTTGAATGGTATATGGACAAAAATATTAAAAAAAAAAGAAAAGTGACAATGATGATGATAATAATTTATACATATATTTTTGTAAAAATAGGATCTAGAGTAACAGACGAGATATTGCGACTTGTACCTAATATACCAGCTTTTAGAACATCATTAAGATGTATAAAATTATGGGCAAAAAGTAAAAAAAAAAGTTTTATTATTTATGTTTATTGTATTTATTTAATGTTGTCATTACTTATGCTTATTGATTGAATAGGGCGTGCAATTTATTCAAATGTTATGGGCTTTTTTGGTGGTGTTGCTTGGGCAATGTTGGTTGCTCGTATATGTCAACTATATCCAAATGCAATTGCAGGAGCAATTGTATCAAGATTTTTTAGAATAATGTATCAATGGTATGTCGCAAATGACAATTTCAATTTAATAATACAAATGTATTTTAACATTGGATTTTTTTTTTAATTTATTAAAATTGATTTAGGAAATGGCCACAACCTGTATTATTAAAACCTATAGAAGATGGCCCACTCCAGGTTAGAGTATGGAATCCAAAGGTAAATCTTACATTTATATATATATATGTATATAATTACTTTTATTATTTTCTAGTGTAACTTTTTTTTTTTTAATAATATAATGAATAGTTGTATCATGGAGATAAGTTTCATTTGATGCCAATTATTACACCAGCATATCCTTCTATGTGTGCAACACATAATGTTACAAAGTCCACAAAAAGAGTAATTGAGGATGAATTTAAGCGAGGTAAACTTTATGTAATGATTGATATTTCAAATTATAACATTATATAGTATTAGAATGACACAATAATTATTTTAAATATTATTATTATTATTTTTTTTTTGACAGCTGCTGAAATTGCTGATAAAGTGATGATTGGTACTGGAAAATGGGTTGATCTTTTTACTAAACATACCTTTTTTCAAAATTATCGATACTATCTCCAAATAATAGCATCTTCGGATTCATCAGAAAGACAATTGAAGTGGTTTGTATATTTAAAAAAAAAAATTTTTTCAATTAAAAACTCTATTCATGTCTCTTTAGAAAAAAATCATTAATCCAATCTAATCTGTCTTTTATTAAAAAGGTCTGGAATGGTTGAATCGAAAATTCGTCACTTAATATCTAAATTAGAGACTGTGGAAAATTTAACCTTGGCACATCCTTTTGTGAAGGGGTTTGACAAAATTCATCATTGTACTACAGAGCAAGAAGCTAATGAATTTTTAAATGGAAATTATAATTTTAAACCAATTAGTGAAGAAGGTAGCGATCCTGTCGATACCAAACCTACTTCCAATGGAACCGAGGATGGCAGTAAACCACCAAATACCACCACAATTGTACGAACCATTTATTCAACATTCTTTTACATTGGTTTAGAAGTAGAAAACCCTACAGGTAAATTTCAAAATAAATAATAAAATCTTTTTACATTATTAATTTCATTACTATTATTATATTCACATTATATATACATCTTCACACATTTGTTTTTAAGCCGGTTCTTCAAAACCTAGACAACTAAACATTTCTTGGCCTACAATAGAATTTAATAAATTGGTTAAAAGTTGGGATAAGTATGATGAAATAAATACAGGGATTGCAGTTAAATATGTTAAACGGTATGTAAAACTTCATATTTTATTATTTGGATTGCTTGAAACTACAGTTATGACTTTTGATATTTAGTTCACAGCTCCCACCTGACGTTTATGAGGATGGAGAACAACGACCCACCAGTCTTAAAAGGCCAAAGTC